GCGAGAAGAATCCGGCCAAACCTACCCATTTTGAATTTGGAATGTTTAATTTTGAGAAGGGCAGTTGGACTTGAGCAGTGCACCAGAGAGCGCACACCTCGAGTTTCTAACTTTTTCTCTTCGCCCCTGTGAGAGTTTCATGCCATGAAATCATGATCAAAGATCATTGATATGCACTGCGGCCATTTTCCTTTAAGGGCGGGCCGCGCGACGTGGCCATATGGCTATGTGGTGGAAGCTCGACTAGCTTCCTGAGACGCCGAGCGCTGAAAAGGCGCGATCCACTTCTTGCCGGACTTCGTTTGCTGGCCACTTGGAGATCCACTTGTTACAACCACTTCCTTCCACTTCACCTTCAACCAACCTCCACGTCTACTAGACCCAAGCTACCAAGTGTTGATCTCAACACATTGTAACTAATTGTTCTACTTACTTAGTACTGGCTGGTCCATTTCCTGAGAGGACTCTTGCCATTCTCAGCACCAGGCTGATACTTCTGCTCTTGCAGTTTCTCTGCCAAGCGCGCTTCCTCTTCTTGTTCTTTCCGAAGCATTGAAGTGACCTTGGATATGGAAGAAGCGAGGGCTTCAGGGCATCCAAAAGTGAAGAAAACCAACAGACGAACGAACAAAAACACGAGAACAACAAAATCTAACCATCAATCAAAAAACAAAAAACAATCAAACAAAAAAAAATGCATAAACTATATGACTAGCTAGCTAGCTAACTAACATCATAGTCATTGACCTCCACTGTTCGATCTCATTATGTTTCGCTTGGCCTGCAAGAGCTGTGCAAAGCCTTCATCTCTCTCGGTCTTCGCCTGCGCTCAAAGAAATACCTCTGATTCGCCTGCGATGTGCAAGAAATACCTGTTTTATACAAACTAATTAAACACTGATGCACGTTCAGTACATGTGTTCAAACATGAATGAATCTCAGCTCAAAATGCCCACTGCAAAGCCATCATCCCTGGGAGCCTTGAGAAGCTGAATCTTTTGCGCCAGCTGCTCTCGTTCGGCATCTAGCTGCTGTACCTGCAGTGTTTCCCCACATCGAATATATGGCGCAAACAGATTCATCATCACATGTTCAACCAGTTTCCGGAAGACAAGGCGCCCACCTCTCTCTGCAAGTCGGAAGGGTTCATCCGACCTTGCCGCTCCTTTGCCAAATTGCCGAAAGACTTGAGCACCTTTTTGCCGACTCCGCCCTCTTCTGCTCTTCCCCCATTTGCCATCCTAAGAGCAATGGCCTCCACCCTAAGAACGATGGCCTCCAACCTAGAAGCGATGACCTCCAAACTACTAGCGACCTGCCCTTCCCCCGTTTGCCACACGATGAAATACTCTTGTCCTGCTCGACGTGCGAATGCGTCGCTTTAAACTGAGACTGCAGCTCCTGAGACAAAATCTCTGAGAGCTCCTCTGTTCTACGAAGCTCCTTGCTTTGGCAGGCGAACTCCAGTTTTCAGGCGTTGCTTTCTTCCGGCCTTGTAACTCCGGTAAACCTCGGCCACCTGCTCTTCTCGCAGAAACTCCTCTGGAACCTCGAACAGTTCACAACCCCCAAAAACAAACATACAACCACCCTTCATGAGATAACAAATGAACCAATCTACGCACGGATGACTATTTCATACTATTTCTTACATATGTGGAACATTGTACAACGTCGTGGTCCATTGACATCTTCGGTCGGACCTCCAGGTTCATGCAGAATTTGGCCAAGTAGGCCCTTTTTCCTTGGGACAAAGCAAGAAGACATGAAACATGAGGCGTCAAAGGATGGCTGTCGTACAGGATGCACATCGATCCTGTTGAGCTAGCACCTAGCACTTTCTGCGTTGAGGTTGCAAGCAAGGCTCGAAGCGCTTCAAGATTGTTCAGCAGCCAGTACAAGATTGGGTGGATCGTGTTCTTGTCACCTATAAGGCACAAATATCACAGTGAAACTTTGAGGATTATATACTGTGCACATGGTCAGGACTGCATGTTTGGATCGCTTCTTAGTGTTCCAGCACATCCTGCACTGTTCGGTCCGCCTGACATCAGACCTTGCTGAAACTCGATGTCGAAAGAACACCTTGGGAAGAAAGGAAGGTAAGGGCCCCTTTCATAAGACCCCTTTGAAGGGGGCCTCATTGAATTGAAAAGGCCCTCACCTTGTGTCTTCTCTTTTTAATTTCTTTTTACCTTCTTTGTTTTTCCCTTTTTTTTGAGCATAGCCTGTGGTCTCCGCCACGGCACTGGTACCCAAGGATGTGCAAGAACTCCGAAATGCGCTGGTACGTCGCGTCCGGCTTCTCCTGGTGTGCGGGAAGCAAAGGAAGATTCACTTCGTTTGATACAGTTCGAATTCATTGAAATTCGAGAAGAAGATTTGATGAGTTGCTGCAGCAAAAAGCAGTTGCTCCCTGTGAAATGGTGTTTGGCCCATCAGTCCTCTCTCACGTCCACATCATGCTTTGGGTCCAGGAATGTGAGGACCTTCTTGAGAATCTCCATGAGCTCGAATGGGTCCTGCCAGATTAGAAGGTCACAAATCCACACAAATCCTGCATCCAATTTGCATCTCACCGTCCTTCTCATCGAAACCCACCAGTGATAAGTCCAAGTTGAAAGGCTCCGCATTGAGGCGATCCACGATCTCCTTCAGTTGCGCAGCCATGGCCTCAACATGACAAACAACATCAAAAAAGAGGCACCCATCACAAAACCAATACTCCAAATTCACAACATCTGGTCTGGGAGTTTGTCAGCATCATGGCATATATAAAAAACCCATCATGCAGCTCTCAAACAAACACACAACGACAGGTTGTGGCACATGGACGAGCCTCTAGCCTTTGCGGCCTCAGCCGATTCTGCGGCGCCTTTTCAAAAACGAGCGTCGCAAAGCCAACAAACGGTAAACTGAACCCCTCGGCACCTGGGCGCCAGCAGAGCAAAGGCTTGGGGGTTTGAGGGTAAATACTGCACAAGTCCATGAATCAGACACATGTTTGAACGGCTGAGGGCAACTGTCTGCCTTCCGACATGTCACTCGCTCAGATGCAATTTAAAAAGATCCTGCCAATGTTTATTCCACGAATCCAATATGCATACTTCAGGAGGATGATTCTTTTTCCAGCTCTTACAACATCAGTGTGGATCAGCTCCGGTCGAATTTAAAACTAAAGAAACAAACAAACATTCCACGCAGCCAGTGTGGGATGGTCAATTCTCACCCCGTGGAAAAGTTAGACAGCAGAAGAATCCCGAAGGTGTGTTTATTGATGCAGAAGCCTATCATGATTATGTCAAAGCCCTTGAAGGACAGCCGCAATCCCTTGCTGTCGCAATCCTTGGGAAAGAATGCCCAGTTCAGAAACAATGTTGCTGCAAAGTCCATGTGCCAGCGCAGGATATGCAACATGTCCATGTAATTCTGAAAACATGTCTTCACCAGTTTGGAAAACTAGCAGTCCAACCGATCTCCAAAGATGGAGACAATGTTCCGGTCGCAGAGTCTAAACTTGTTGCTATAACATTATGTTTTTTTAAGATAGGCGTGAAACTTCAACAAAAGCTCTAGTACGATATAGAGGTACGCTAGGTACGTACGCTAGGACGTACGATTGGTACGGTTCATTGGTACGATTGGTACGGTTCATTGGTACGATTGGTACGGTTCATTGGTACGATTGGCGCGGTTCATTGGTACGATTGGTACGATTCACTCCGGTTCACTAGTACAGTTGGCCTGGTTCCATAATAAGATATGTTGAACAATATGTTTGTCAGCGCTGCTGGTACCGTTGGTATGGTTCACTGGTCACTAGTATGGTTGGAGTTGGCGCTGTTTACGGTTTTGTGTGGTGTGAATCAGTATCTCAGCTTGAGATCTCAGCTTTGTGATTGTGTTGTTTGTTGTCTGTTGTATGTTGTGGTATTTATAATATTATTGCCATGGTATCGCTGTGTGGCCTACTGACTGTATAGACTGTATAGACAGCTGCTATACTATGGTTTACGTTTTGGAGTCTGACAACACATGAACCAAACCCCAAAGGGGTAAACTAATCTGCTGACTCACTCATCAGCTGGCTCATGGCTCACAGCTTGTTTTCATCAGCGAGCTGGTTCACCAGTGTCAGTGAAGTCTCGGTCAGGCGATTGGCATTATGACTCTGACATTGATTCATGAGCGCCTCCTCATAGACCATAGGTCTAATGTCAGTGCCATGAGCCACTCGATTCGTCTGGTCCGATTGAATCCGTTCTCGAAGACTCGACTCGACGGTCAAAAAAAAAGAAACGTCGACCGTCTGTCAGTTGAACCGTTGATCTGCAATCAGTTGTCTCAAATCACAAATATGGTAAGTTCAGTAGTATAAACTAAAGGTCTTAGTCTTAGTCTTAGTCTTAGATTCATGGTTTATGTATGATTTTGAAAGCTAAAGCTAAATCATACATCAGTTCAATCGTGACCTTGTTTTCAGTGAAACTGTCACATGCGTCACATGTGATTTGATTTGATTTTTGTCACCAGCTGCTCAATGTCTGTACACAGCTCATCTTCTTCTGACGTTGGGAATTCCAGCGAACACATCATGGCTATCTGAAGCGCTGCAATAATCGTTGAAGGAAACCTCACACAAGACTAAGATGTCACGATGTCATTAAATTGAATCATTAAATTAAATAACAAACGCTGATGATCAGCTGGTGATGTACTTAATTTAATCACTTAGTCACTTAGTCACTTAGTCGCTTAGTGACTTTGTGTCAGTCATGTGTGTACACCATGCAATACATAGTATACAGTGTATATAGTAGTAGTATAGTTATAGTAGTATACATAGTTACCATATGTCATTGACATGTTGGTCACTTTGTAAGTCAAGACACGCGTTGCCAGCAAGATCCTGAAATTGCGAATTGGAGACTTTGCGGGATCGAATCGCTGCATCATCTAGCATGGTGCCCTGCAAGCGCAGCTGTTCAATGCCGAGGTGAATCCTGCCTTGCTCGTCATCCCACACTGTTCCCGAAGGTAGGACTGTTGGCACTACCTGTCATGGCTTTGAGATAGACAAGTTACAACACAACACAAAAGAAAGAACTCCAGAACCAAATTGACAAACCTGAAGTCAAATCTATCATTTGTTGAACTATCCGTCAAGACAAGTTATTGTTCATTGTCAGAGTCACAGTCAGTCATTCTTAGTAAGTAACATTCTTTCAATATCAGACCAAACCCGAATCGGAATCTACATTCATCCTATCTTGAATCCTAACCCTAACAAGAACAATCAAAACCGTGCCTCCTTTGTACTTGTGGGAGTTCGATTTGCTGAATGATACAAATCTGCAAATCGAAAGGGCTCCAATCCGTTTTCTCGCCGGCGCTGGTTCGTCTCATAGAAGAAGCCAACGATCTGCGATGTTGAGTCATTTGATGTTTGTTTGGTTGTCGAATCTAGATGTTGTTTTGGCTTTTCAAGAGTGATGATGTTTTTTTTGAGTTGAAGCATTCATATAGTTGTCATAGAGTCATAGATAGACAGTATAGACATAGACGTAGTCACAGTCAGTCTAGTCTTCAAAACTTTGCGTTAGTTGATACTAAATCAATCTCAACTCAACCCACAACCCACCTCTTTCTCTCTGTCCGGAAGGCTGTCAAACCAGCTGTTCGAAGTCAAGCAAGGTGGCAGTTTGATTGGCCATACCATGGAACCTGTAGCAGCAAATGATTTTACAGCCATTAAAACTTACATTCAAAAGACATCTCATCGTGACTGAGTTGTTGTGCCACAGAACTAACCTAAACCTGGGCTGAGAGCTATTATTGAACCAAAAACCATGTTTCAGATCATAATGAGTCTGAGGGTGAAACGTCCAGTTGCGATTTCCATATGCATTGGTTTCCATTTTTCACCTTTGGTGTTCAAGCTAGCATCACCATCTTGATCGATTTGTTCTGCTTTGCGGCGCTCGCGGTCAGACTTGTTCTTGAGCCGTCGTTCAAGCTCATCCATCAGGAGCTCATCAGTTTTGGGAAGTAGAAAGTCGTCCTGAGATCAATCAATAATAAGACATATGATAGACACATGATATAACACAAGTATAGTCTAAGCCTACAGTCTTCAGTCTTCAGTAATCTACAGTCTGGAGTCTAGTCTCTAGTCTAATTTTGTTTTTGCTTCTGACCGTGATCGGCAACCTAAAGTACAAAAGTCCAAAGTCACAAGTTGCAAACAGTATGGAATTGAGACGTGGCACAACGGATGGAGCTTTTAGCTTGAGATTGGGAAGATATACCGTCAAAGCTGAAGCCAACACCTGATCGGCAGTATTTCGGAGCTCTGCATTCGCGCGTCGGATGTTCACTCCAAGAATAAACAACCTCGTTCTGCGTTGTGGTAATCCAAAATCTGTTGCCTTCAGCATAATCATACCTCAGAACATAAGACACTAACAATAAAAATCATCAATGTCATATCACATAACAAAAACATAAGTGCAAGCTCTGAGCAAAGTAAGCAAACTGCTCCAAGCAGTACTTATAGCTTACTCGCTTCATAACAAAACTAAACTATATTCACTAGACATGATAGGTGATAGGACTGCATTGGATAATGTTCTTTTCCAGATGCAGCTTTACAGCTTTACCATAAACAGCCATAATGGCCATAACTGTCTTGCAACCAAATGGCGTGTTGCATAGCCCTCATTTCCAAGGGCGGTCGCAATGACAGCACCGTTGGAATCATCTTCCGTGCAATCCCCGAGGTCGACATTCTCCAAAATAAACATGAGCGGCTGTGTACGATTGATCGCATCAACTGTTCCGGCAAAGGTACGGAAACTGCTGCTTTCCTGCGACTCATCAATCACACAATGAAACAACTATTTTGCAGTATTTACAGCTTTACAAAGTTTACAAATCAAAATATCAAAAGCCAAACGTGTAGTAGTAGTATATTCATAGTCATAGTGACCATTCATAGTGTTGAGTCTAGCTATGAGTTTGGAAGACCCAGAATGGTTGCAACACGATTGATCAAACAACCATGGATCATGAAGAAGTTTGCAACCCAACAGCATCCACAATTGCTGATCCTGATTTCTCTCTGACATAGCACGTTGAAATGAAGCCACATCGTTCTGCAACTTGGAAAGCGACTTGCATGAAAAGCCACTTGCAAAGGATAGCAGTGTGTCACGAGGTGGCAACTCCTCAGATAGTGAATTACAAATCACTTTGTAAGCTACTTCATATTTCATAACAAAGCTTTGAGAAAGAGTATGTTGACTCGACCACACAACACACATGTACTGTAACTAGAATAGATTGGAAGGACAGGTCACACAGTCACTCACTGTGCCGTTTCCATGAAGGCTGCAGTATCGCATCTCATCGTCTGCAATGCATGTTACATCTGTAAACATGCAATTCCCCGTCGAAGCAGAACTTGCACGAAGCAGTAATAGTTTCCACTTCTCCGACTCACATACGAATGCCACTTCAGCCTTTGCGTGATATGCATTTTGAAGTCTCAGAATCTCAAAGAACTAGACTTGACTAGACTAGTTGATAGTGACTGTCATAGTCATAGTCAGAGGCATAGTGTTAGTCAGTTAGTGTTACAGTCAAGTAAGGAACATTAGAGTCAGTAATAAAGAAAAAACATAAATTTACTATACTAGTTACTAATAACTAATAACTAACTAACTGTTTAACTAATAGTTTATTGCAACGACTGCCGGCTTCCGAATCAATCTCCAAACAAGCTGAGAAGCAACAAATTCAGAAATTGGTTGATCAGTGATATGATCGGGCAAAGCATCATTGATGGCATCCACGATTGCATGAAATGCAAACTCAAATGTACCAATTCCTGTGCATGCACTAGCCACGGTCATAGTATTGGGCATGTTCGCAAGCCTGTCAGCGGTTCCAGAAATCTTCAAGGCTTTCGCTATCATTGCCTGCGCAAGCATGTTCACGAAGGCAATTTATTGATTCAATATGATGTCAATTTATGCATTGACATTCAGAAATGAAGTACCACATCAAACATTTATTTACTATTTATTTAATTGATTAAATTCTTTGTGGTTCATAACTGATGGACTCGGTCCACATGTTAATTGCCTGGGCAGCTGATTCCACGATGCCACGTCTCATGTGCAGCCAGTTCTCATTGTCGCCAGCCCCCTGTCGAGATTGATTTCACGATCACAACAACTTACACTCACATATCTACAGATCACAAGCTGTTCAGAGTTCAGAGAACATGTTTTGATTTGTTATTGCGCAAACAACTTTAGACAACCCAGCCTTGGCATCATGTTCATTGATCCCTTTGTCAGTGCTCTCCTGACATAGAATACAAAAAAGGTTCATGTAGGTCTCAGATCTTTGTAGCTGAATGACTAAGACTTGCCGTAGACAATCTCTCATTCGCCTGCTCGTCATGTTCTTCACTGTGTTGTTCAGCTGTTGCCTCATCCTGACAACAAAAGACTTATATTGGATTAGTAGACTTGACTTGACTTGCTATGCTGTATACACCTTTACACAACCCATCCTCGGCATGTAGTTCATTGATCCCTGCATCAAAGGTCTCCTGATATAAAATGCAAATGATTTAGGTCTCAGGTCTTTGTAGCTGAATTACCAATACTTGTGGTAGACAATCTCTCCTGTGTGCGCACGTCATGTTGATCACTCTGTTGTTCAGCAGTTGCCCCATCCTGACAACAAACGACTAAATAACATAAATGAATGGTTCATGAATTGACTAAGACTTGTTGTTGTAGATTGCAATCAACCTCTCCTTCTTGTCGTCATGATGTTCACTATCGTGATTGACTGGAGCATCATCCTGGCAATTCAAACAAATAACAAATGTTTGTTTAGTCTAGTCTAGTGATTAATGTATTGTGTTGCGGTAAACTTATCTTGGCAATGACATCCAAAACAAATAGTAAGAAAAACCAATATAAGTAAGCAATCTCTCCTGCTCTTTCTCAGTATGTTGATTTGCGTCTTGTTCAGCGGCTGTGTCAGCATGGTCCTGGCACAAAAAAACAAGTAGCATTTGACATTGCATATTCAATTAACGTATAGATAACCGATCCTTCTTGATATTGTGTTCTGTGTCTGCTTCAGCTGTGCCATTGTCCTGAAGAAACAAAACGCTTAGAAAACATCAGAATCAAAATAGATAAATCACAATCACAAACAAAGCTGTTCAATTGTGAATATGACTTGCTGCTATAAACAACTAGACAAGAATCTCTCCTTCTTGTCATGTAGTTTGTGTTCTTGAGCTTTGGCGTTGTCGCCATCTTGGTATGTATCCTGATGGTTCCGAGTCTTGACAACAAGAAAAGATATGACATTGCTGATTATGTTGATTTTTGAATTCTGAATGACTGCAAGATTATGCAATGCCCTTGCCTGCTGCAAGAAGTTTGGAGTCATGGCTGATGATAGTGTTTCCGCATAGTCCATTGTATCCTGCCGCGCCATGAGGTTCAGTAGGTCATATCATGTCTTGCAACACTTAGTCACTTAGTCACTTAGCATGTCCTGTAGCATTATACCAAAGATTTCATCAATGCCCACTTCCACATGTGCGTTGTCCTGCAGCCAATGACATTGATATATAATATATATATATTATAATATATTTTTATCAAACTTAAAACTTAGACAAACAGTTCAGTTGTTTGCTGTCGATGATGGTTGTGGTTGTGGTTGTTACTATGTTTTGGTCATTGTGAACTTGAGAACAAACTGTGTGAACTTTGGCCTTGTATTCGGCACGTATCCCACGCAATTCAATATCAATATTCCTCTTGGCCTGCAAAGGTAATCTCTCAAAACCAAACGAACCAAACACTGGACTGGACCACACAATTCAAAATAACTGTACTGTAAGTCATTTGCAGTTGTTGATGAATTCAAATCATTTGCCGGCCGAACCTCTTTCAAATCACTGCAATGGATGAGTGCCCAGAAGTCCAGTCTCTTCAGTCTCTTGTCCAGCTCTTGATCGCCTGGATTTTCCTGACCGTCGAACACACTACCGACGCTCTCAGTCAAGGGATTTGAAACAAAGTAATTGATTAATTCATTAATTAATTGCTTGATTGGTCAACAATAGCGATGGTGAATCAGTGAATTGTCTTGGATTTGAATGATGAATGAATATATTAATCATTGATTGAAAATCATTGCTACCCAAGCCTTCATCAAACGATTGCACACCGTCTTGATTGATTGAGTAAGTCTCGTCATCCGGCTTTTGTCCTGCAAATCTTAACAACACATAATCAAATGAATGAATGAATGAATGAATGAATGAATGAATGCATCATGGATCAATCATGAATTGTTGTGTAAGTCTAAGGTCTTAGTCTTAGTCTAATGTATTCAATTTCACAAAACCAAACAAAACAACCGTCTCCTGCGTGTTGGTACTGGTCACTACTGGCGCATCATTCTTCTTGAAGTCATTCAAAGTTGATGTTGCTATTGGTTCTGCTGAAATAATGTTCTTGGTCGTCTCTTCAATGTCCATGATGTTCTCCAAAGCTGTTTCCAACGACTCTTTAGCAGCCTGAGTGGTTGCCATTGCAGAGTCTGGCTTGTCCTGTGTGTTCACAACTGCATTGATGTAGTCTGGTCCATATGATGCTAGCCATCTCAAGAAATGAGCAAGATCTTCATATGGATCACCATCTTCATGCCCAAACTCCCAGTCATCGTCAACTATCTTCTCTGACCGGAGGTGATGACTGTAGTAAATCAAAAGCGGATGGTTGCATGCATCTGCCAGCAAGCCATCAAACTCGGCGTCATTGAGAAACTCGAGCTTGTTCTGGATCACTTCATCACTGCTGGTACCAGCTTTTGTGGCATCCTCCAAAATATCTGCCACAGAGGTCTTGGTCATTGTCTTGGCATCTACTGCAGGTTTCATGATTGGCTCGGATCCTTCAGCGTTGTTGGCATGAGTCATCCCCGTATCAGACTCACGCTGTGGTGGCGCTGCTTTCGGAACTGAAGCATCATCTCTTGGCGAATCAGATGAGCTCGAGTTGTCACTGGAATGGTCATCTGCTGATTCGGTAGGGTGAGGAGGAGGTAGTGTGAAAGCTTTGGCGGCTGCAACGGCAATAGGTGTATGTGATACACCTGCGTCATGTGGTGTGCTCAACTTGGATGGCACACTATTCGGAGGTGGCATGACAGCTTTGGCTGGTGGTACATCAGAATGTGGCTTTGGTCGAAGAAACTGCTGTATTGACGACTGGTCTGCATCAGGTGGGGTATCCCTCAATAGCGGTGATGATGCCTTTCTCTTCCGTGAAGGTATGGGAGGCGTAGGCGGTGGCTTCGCCTTTGCCTTTGCCTTTGGTTTGGATGCGGGCGAAGGTGGAAGCTTTGGCTGCTTCTTAGCCACAGCCTTTGCTTTAGCTGCTGTCTTTTTGGGTGGCATGACCAACAACAGACACTCAGCCAGTAGACGCTCAGCTATGGCACAGTGCAAGGCTAGATCAGTTGAGATAACACTAGCAAATATTCCAATGGAAAACATTCTGTAATCATCAGCTGCAACTATTTCCATTGTTCAAAAATGAGAAGGTCATGTTGTTGCAAATTGTTGATTTGCAGAACATAACATCATATAATCATGTTGTGAACTTTAATATTGAAAGACCCAAAACGCCAGCGCCCAAAGGAATGTTCGACTCAAAACCAATGGCCAATGATTCTGAATCAACCAGAAAATAGTTATGTCATAACTACTTACTTATACACTTTGTTTTTGCATACATTGACGCTGATTCATTCTGCTGCATGTAGTTTTGTTCCTCGCATTTGGTTCTCTTCTCTTCTGGTTCATCTAGTTGATCTTGCTTTGTCAACAGGACGGAAAATGTATTGTCCCTGTCCAAAGACACACCCAACTTCTGCTATATCATAAAGTCATAAAGATTCACTTGGTCATATAAGTCATAGTCAAAGAGTCATAGAGTCTCATAGAGTCATATATGTTCAGGAACATATTACGCTGTTCGGTGTCCTGTCAACGGTCATTGAAAATTGAATCTTGTTGGCCAGCCAACATTGACTGTGACATCGCAATGTTCCCAAGCTGGCAACACATGGATTCATATTTTGCCAACAGGACATGTAGTCTGGAGTCTAGTAAACAGCAGTAAACAGTATCAATGAACTTGTCAATACAATATCATTAAACTACATTGCAAAACTAACATTGTCCTGCCAGCATGCGATGGCGACTCGAATTGAACTGCCTAAGCAAGCAATCAAGGGATCAAGGATGTCACTGCCGCCTGAAGCGTGGCGTTCATCTCCAATGATTGAGTTTGACAAGATCCCATGAGATCTTCCATGATTTTGAGGATTCGTCCAGATGCCTTCTGTCCTCACAAAGCAATGAATGTTCTGAAGTTATGTATCATTAAATTGTATTATATATTGTATTTAATCTCAAATCTCAACAAGTAATTGCTTGAAAAACATAATCAACCATAACATTAAAAATTGTTTGTATAGCAAGTCAGTCCTGATGTAATCCAAGCTTGAGATGATGGGATAACCAGCAACGCAACAGCTGACTGTTCAGCCAAGATCGTAAGCCCGTGTTTGTGCATGCTGCGGAGTTCCTTATTTAACACAGACTAACAGAGTTCAGTGAAGTTTGTTATGACAAACAAAAAAATAGACTGAATTAAAATAATGGTATATATTTCTTATGAATTATGAATCATCAATTAAAACACAAATTATTTACTATGCTGAAAGACAATAGTTATATCATGTGTTGTTGTTCTAGCAGATTGCAATGTATGTAATATAATATAATATAATATAATATAATAGTTTTATATTATGTATGTTTATAAGTTATCATATATGTTGAAAACTCAATTGCAACTGCAACCACGTTTCCGACAAAGGTGTGCATAATGTCGCTGGATCAAAACAGTTGCCAAAGGCCTCAACATCCTTCTGCACAGACACGATAAGTCCCTGTGAACTGTCGCAGAACTTTGAAATGCGTTGCACAAGCGGATCAAGAGTCTTCTTGAAACGATTGAGCTCCGCCAATGTAGTATCCTTCAGCTCGGGCAATGTCTTGATCAAACCATTGAAGTCATTGATCATTTTGCATCCATCTTTGTCATAATGTCCTTTTCGAGATCCAATGATGCGTTCATATTCACATTGAATCGGAGATACAAACTTGGTGCACATGTCCTGGCAGTTCACAAAGGTGGTTTTGAAACCATCGCTGGTAGAATATAATGAGCCAAATGCTCCTCCCATCGTACACCAAAGCTCGTCTGACTCATTTCCATCAATGAAGACCCTCTTGAAGGACGTGAAGGAGCTCACAAATGGAGCAATTGCTTCTCTGGAATCGCAATTTGCTTGCGCTGACTGCAAAGTAGCACCTGATGGCATGTGATTTGATATATGTTTATGTTTCTATTGAGAAACTATGCAACCTGTAACAATATGTCAACATTAATATCAATGTTTTGAACACCTAATCAAATCTAAATTATATGAATTGTTGAGTAAAACTTTTACAATAAAATTAATTAATACTGAGACTAACACAACTACACACAACATAAAAATAACATAATACAATAAATACATATTAAGCGCCTGCATGAAGAAGATGATAGAGGCTGGCAATGCTCTTGTAGTTCGTTGCCTCTGATTTGTTCGTCTCTGACGCACTGATCAACATCAATTGCTCCATTGCTTCATGCGCTGAAGCAATATCTTCTTTGGATAGTGCAAACGCATTTGCAAAGGCCTGCGTTCATGATGGTTGAAGTTTCATATGAAAGCGCCTCTATACTTATCAACAAATGATGTGATGAAATGTTTCTATTTTCAAAACTAAATCACATTCAATAGTGAAACACTAGTGAACTTTATGAAACATAAAATAACCATCATATAACAATTTGCAATTTGCAAAAACCATGCTCGCCTGTGCAAAGTGCTCTGCCAAAGTAGTTGAATGCTTTGTCGCTGCGGAATCAACCATTGATTCAACCTGTTGAGTGCAAATGTCTTTGATTGACTCCATCAGAGTTTTGAAGCTGTCGTCCACCAGCTTCAGTGCGATCATAGAGGAGCCACCTGCAGACATGAACACGTCCCAATTGCGTGATGCCTTCATGATCGAAACTGCATCCTGGTTGGATTCATTCACCAACATATTGGAAATCGATGCTAAGGCTGCCCTGGCAGCTGTGAAGCAGCGGGACTTGTTCTTGATGTTTTCTGTTCCAATGACTTCAACGATGTGCAACAACTGCTTGTCGGGAATTGTGAAGGTTGGTGCAGCATTGATCACTGATGCACCTCCACTTGCACTCTTGAATTTACTGACAATGTTGCCAATCCAGCTGTGAACAGCTTTACTGTACCGCTGAATGACCGTGTCAAGGAAGGTCTCCAAACAGCTAATTCCCTCTTGTACAAAGTTGTTGGACGCCTCACTTGATGATTTTGACTGCGCTGCCTGCAAAGATGTTGCAGTCGTATGTGCCAAGGTCAAGCCAGCAGTAAAGTCAAATGCACTGTCAGATTGATCATTGAGAAATTCATCAAGCTTTTGCAAAGTGCTTGATGCTTCGTCAAGAAACGCCATGTCCTTGGAAGTCTTCTCAGCAATGTCCCGACTTTGTTTCAATAGAGCTTTGCCTTGGGACAGGCCTTGAAACACTGCAGCTAAGCCTGAATCTGCATTGGCAACCATTGAGTCGGCTTTTGTTTGCAATGATGCAATGGCAGTCTTGATGTCATCTGGCATATGAGCTTTCGGATTCAGCACAATTGTCAGCGACTTCAAAGTGCATCCCAAAGAAGTGTCAATCACGAAGTCTTGTTTCTCCAAGTGGAAGACAAATGCACGTAGTGGATCAACAGCATCGGAAAGAAGCTCAACCTGATCAAAAGGTCACTTATATATTAATAGTATATCATTTGTATGTTTAACAAGAATTAAACATTACAAATCAAGCAAAAATTGTTTACGATTATATAATGTCTATGTCTAGGTCTATTGGATCAATATTGAAATATTGTTGTTGCATGCCTGGTCACCTTGCAAGTGTTCAAGGACTTTAGCAACCTTTGTGTGACCTCGCTGACCATCAAGCAAAAGAACTCATTGCCATCCTTCTTGTCCAGTGCATCAATCATAGTCTGCCGAGTATTGGTGAAGGCTACCCAATCGCTGAATTTGAGACTTGTGATGATGGAGCATTTGAAGGCCCGCTTGACAATTCCTCTAGCAAATTTCCACTCATGATGAGTATTGATACACTCAATGAGATCCATATCTGAGGCATTGTGCATGACCAAGTGTGTCGCGAGGTTGTTCATGATGACAAGTTCATCAGCAAGCGTTTGCAAACCATGCTTGAGATCATCACCTGTGTCTTTTCTTCGTCCAAGGCTTTTGATCTTGCTCTTGATCTGGTTGGTAAGCTCACGTAGTTCTTTGGCTGCTGATTTCAATGTATCTGTGATACCAGGATCATTGGTATTTGGTGTTGATGCAAACAGTGAATCGCGATGCTTGGCAACCTTCTCTTCATATTCCTTGAACACCTCTGAATCATTGTTGTTCTCTGTTTTTCTGCCCTTTGGAATTGATGTACCACTCACGGTTTCCAACGTCTCAATCATTGTTTTGGCTTTAGCCTTTGTCTTGGCCTTAGCCTTTGCCTCAGGCTTTTGATCTTCTCGCTTTCGTTTCTTGTCCTTGTCATCTGGAGCTGCAGGCTTCTTTGCCTTTGCAGTTACTTTCCCTCTGGCTGCTGTAGCAACCCCGCTGCCAAAGATGTTTTGGATGTTTTGCATTTGACTCATGACGTTGGAGCTGGTGTTCTCATCGATGCTCTCACTGTCTTGCGATGGATTTGGCTCAGCGTCTGGAAGCATTGGCTTTGATGGCACTGTTGGCAACGATGCCCGTGCTGAACCAGAACCACTGCCAACCATGAAGATGGACACATTTGATGATGTTCTTTGAAAGAATGGCAAGTCTGATATGTCGATGGATGACTCCTGTTGTTGGATTGAAAGCTTTGTCGCCATCTCAAATTGTTTCTTTGCCACATCTGCCCCCAACTCAAGGCTTCCATCATGTACCTCCACTTCCATGTTCACTTCCTTTTCCTGTGCATCAACTCGGCGATAGTAGCCAGCACGTCCGGTAGTGATGTTAACCTCAGACTCCAGGACTCGCAATGTGACTATTTTCTTATAAGTCGAAGTTATCAGTTATAATTGAACAAGTAACAATACCTTGAAACAAAATTCTTCAATCATACAAGTAACCCCCTGCTTCCAAATGCCGTCCACATTTTCCCAAACTATGTCGGACTCATTCACTGTCTTCTCTGGATGATCCTTCTGATAGGTTGACAGCTCAACCCAAAACATCTCTGGTTTCTCAAGTGAGCTGCGTCTCCTTTGGGTTGCAGTCACTGTCGTTCTGGGTCCCAAAGATGAATCTGACCGCATGCGAAGTGAAGGGTTTGCCTTCCTCTGGTCGATGTACTTGGTGCGCTGAGCCTCACAGTGCATTGAACATATGACATTGTGACCGCACCACAGAACCAAAACATATGCACCACCAATCATATGAAGTGTACCATACAATCGTACCCACAACTGTACCAACTGTACCACTAGCTGTACCACAATCGTACCACTGTACTGTACCACTGTACCAACTGTACGTACCATCGTACCGTACCAAAAATAAGCCCCCCCCAAGACCCCCCCAAGACCCCCCCGTACCAATGTACTTCCTTATTAAAGTAATAAGGAAG